GTGGCATAGCCCTCAGAATCACAGCAATTCAAACCACCACAGCACGACAGACATTTGAGTGGCGGTTACGTGGTTGCTGTTAAATAGGAACCTCCTTGTGCTAGGGCCCTTAAGTCTGGCTCAAAGGTGGGATTTCTGTCCTTGGATGTCAATCAAGAGGCAGAAGAGCAGCAGGGGTGACTGGGTTGTAGTGAGACGCTTTGGGCTGGGCTTGTGCATCTCTAAGTTGGTCTACCCCACCTCAAAGCCACAATCCAACAGTTAGGCTAGGACCGCGCACTCGTGTCGGGGTAAGTAGGACAGCCTGGCCAGCCCCTGCAGTCTCTTCCCACTAGGCAGCGTCTCCCCATCGACCTGGTCTCCAGACACCTCTCCCCGCCACTCCGTGGTCTGGGTTTCATTTAACACCTCCACCAGGTCTGCGCAGTTCTCGCACATCGTTTAACCGCCGCCCTCCATGATAGTGATTATGGTAGTGTAGTGGTTATGAATTGGGCTGCTAACCTCAAGGTCAGCAGTTCAAAACTGTAGCTGTTACGCAGGAGAAAGATGAGGCTTTCTGCTCCTGTAAAAATTTACAGCCTCGGAAACCCTACGCAGGGTCACTATGAGTCGGAACCGACTCCATGGCACATAACCACCAACTCCATGGCACATAACCACCACCACCACCAATTTTCCTTTGGAGTCCTGGTGTGGCACTGTGGGTTAATGCACTGAACTACAAAGTCAGTTTGAACCACAAGGTTGGTGGTAAACCAGCTGCTCCTTGGAAACTCCATACAGGGCCTCTATGGGTCAGCACTGACTCAATGGCACTTAACAACAACAACAACAAAATTTCCTCAGGGAGACACTGGGTGGTACATACAATTAACACTCTTGGCTGCTAACCAAATGGTTGCAAGTCCACCCAGAAAAGCCTCAGGAAAAAGTCCTGAAGAGCTACTTGTGAAAACTCAGCTACTGAAAATCCTGTGGAGCACAGTTCTACTCTGACACAAATGGGGTCGACATAGTAAGGATCAACTCAAAGGCAATTTGCTTTGTGTTTTAAAATTTTCCTCTCACCAAGGTGCTTCAGTTTAGAGTTGTCTTCTGCAACCCCCAAAGGAAAATATAAGTATCTATTGTTGAGTCGATTCCAACTCACTTGAACCCTATAGGAAAGAATAGATGTGCTTCATAGGGTTTCCAAGGCTGTAATCTTTATGAGAGTTGATTGCAGGTCTTTTTCTTAAGGAGTAGCTGGGTGGGTTTGAACCACTGACCTTCTGTTAACACTGAGTGATTAACCACTGTGCCACCAGGTTTCCTTATACTGCTAGTGAAAAGTGGTTTATAAACAGTTGAGTGCAACACAGATATAAGACGTAAGCGCTAACTCTCAGACATTCTGCAGTGCTTAGCTACCCATCAAGGACCACAGTCCACACCCCAGTGGTGTTTCTGCACCTACTTGCCCTTCACCTTCCTTCTCATCTCTCACCTCCAGGACAAGGAGCCTGAGCGTCCCACGGGGGCCCAGGTGAAGCGCCATGCCTCCTCCTGCAGTGAGAAGTCCCACCGAGTGGACCCACAGGTCAAAGTCAAGCGCCACGCCTCCAGTGAGTTCTGGGTGGGCCTTCCTTACTGAGTAGGGAGGTAGAGAGGAAGCCATCCACAACAGGGGTCTCAAACGGATATCCCTCCAGGGATCAGTGGGTAAATAAATGAGTGAAGTGGTATGGAAGTCAAAGACCATTCTCAGCACAAGCATAGTGATAAAGGGCAGCTAGAAAGGAAACAGAATGGAATGCAGGCAGGAAGGATGGTAGGAAACTAAAGTGCTCAGACCTTAGCTCTCGGGGTAGCCACTACTCAGCCCCAGAGAATGGCTGCCATAGGGCAGTACAAGTCCACTGTTGCCATGTTTGCCTATTATTTAAAAGAAATCAGAAATCTAAATTTTATGTGAAATCTACTTACTTTTTTATACTGTTGTTGTTAAGTGCCAAGGAGTCAGATCCGACTCATGACCATGTATAGGGTGTCTGAGAACAGCTGGTGGGTTTGAACTGACATGACAGACTTGCAGTTAGCAGTCCAGTGTTTATCCTACAGCACTACAACAGGACTTTTTATATTGACAACTTTTGAAAAATTTTTAATACTAAGACCAAAAATATGTATTAAAGTTTATCTGTAAGTTGCATCTGCTCCAGAGGCTGACAATTCGTGGTTTCTGATCTGGAGCAATAAACAGAGAACTGGTGGTTATGTGCCGTAAAGTCAGTTCCAACTCAGCAACCCTGTACAGGGTTTCCAAGGCTATAAATCTTTACGGGAGCAGAAAGCCTCATCTTTCTCCTGCGGAACAGCTGGTCGTTTCAAACTGCTGACCTTGAGGTTCACAGCCCGATTTGTAACCACTGCGCTACCAGAGCTCCTTAAACAGAGAACTGTTGTTGTTGTTGTTAAGTACCATGGAGTCGATTCTGACTCATAGTAACCCTGCACAGGGTTTCCGAAGCTGTAAATCTTTCCGGGAGCAGAAGGCCTCATCTTTCTCCCATGGAACTGCTGGTAGTTTCAAACTGCTAACCTTGAGTTGGCAGCCCTACTCGTAACCACTATGCTACCAGAGCTCCTTAAACAGAGAACTAAGCCCCACCAAATACCGTCAGGGCAGCTGCCATCAAAGATGTGAGTCACTTCTGTGTCTCCAACCCTGGCTCTGCCTAGCACCATGTATGTGCTCAGTGAATGCCCCAAGTGATACTGTACAACAGTGACCCCCTGCCCACTGAACATGTGCCAGACACTGTATCGTCAGTTACATTTGATTTGTAACACTAATCTCTGCTTTAGGGTTACTTACCTTTATAAGCAAACCAGCTTCCTGTAGGACAACCTGTTCTGAATTCCTGAAAATCTTTCATGCGTTGCTTTGTATTTTCCCCTGCCCCCACTGCCACTCCCCATGAGATAAAAATACATTTCTATGTTATAGTTCCAGTTCACGCTCAGGAGTCTGGAGACATGTCCATTCCTCACTTGGTTGCTAGCTTATGTACAACTATACATGTCCCTTCCCCTCTCTAGGTCTGAGGTTCTCCTCAGAATAATTATTGTTATTAAGTGCCTTTGAATCAGCTCCAACTCATAGCGACCCTGTATAGGGTTTCTGAGGAGCAGCTGGTGGGTTTGAAATACTGATCTTGTGGTTAATAGTCCAGTACTTATCCCACAGCAACACACAAGGACTCAGAATTCCCTACTCTCATGGACACTGGATATATACTGTTTTTGTGTGCCATCGAGTCAATTCTTACTCATAGGAACCCAGTAAGACAGAGTAGAAGGGTCTCATTCTTAAAGGCTAGAATCTTTATGAAAGCAGAAGGCCAGGCCTGTTTTCTGAGGAGCCAGTGGCTGATGAGTTTGAACGGCCAGCCTTTTGATGAGCAGCCATGACTCTTTTTACTAAAAACACAGTGCCTTAGAAATAAAGCGCCTGATGGAATGCTTATTTTAAAATGGAAAACTACACTGAAATAAGCATGTAAGATTAAAAACCAATCACAGACTATCCCAAAAAGTATAACAATAAAATGAACAAAAAACAGAACCTTTCTTCAAATGAAATCTTATACAAAAGTCCTATTTATAAAAGAGAGAAGAATGGAGCATCTCTGATTGGAGTGGGGAGGCAAAGAGGGCTCTGGTCTGCCCCATACAGTGACTTGCTACCTATTGTTATGAAAGCATGTTGTTGCTGTTAGTTACCCTGGCGTCAACTACAACTTACGGCAACCCCGCGTGTGTGGCGTAAAACTGCCGTAAAATCTTCAAGGTCACGACATTTCAGAAGCAGATCTCCAGGCCTGACTTCTGATACCTTTAGATGTGTTCAAGAGTTCCCTGCCCGCCCTCCTGACTCTTGGACTCTTCAACAGAGAGTGCTTGTCTTTGTTGACCTCTAATGACCAGGTTAAGGAGCTCTGGTAACGTAGTGGTTACGAAGTGGGCTGCTAACCTCAGCGTCAGCAGTTCGAAACTACCTAGCTATTCCGCAGGAGAAAGATGAGGCTTTCTGCTCCCGTAAAGATTTACAGCCTCGGAAACCCTGTGCAGGGTCGCTGTGAGTCGGAATCAACTCCACGGCACATAACAACAATGACCAGGTTAGACAAACAATGGGTTTCACATGACCAAAAGATTTAAAGATGTATTGAGAGGAAAAGATGCAGCCAGAGGAGATAAGGAAGACCCTAGGGCAATGTTGTCTCCTCTTTCCAATACAGGTTTTGGTGAGGTTGTGTAAAGCTGTAGGATCAGCTGGACTGCAAATCACAATGTCGGTGGTTCAAACCCACCAGCTGTTCCTGGGAAACCTTATACAAGGTCTCTATAAGAAGCTCTGGTAGTGTAGTGGTTACAAATCGGGCTGCGAACCTTAAGGCCAGCAGTTCGAAACTACTAGCCGCTCCGCGAGAGAAAGATGAGACATTCTGCTCCCATAAAGATTTACAGCCTCGGAAACCCTGTACAAGGTCGCTATGGGTCGGAACCGACTTGACGGCACTTAACAACAACAATGTCAGAACTGACTCAACAGCACTTAACAAAACAACAAAAGGTTTTAAGTGTGGAAAGCCATCGTGTTTATTAGGTGGGGATTTCCAGGAAGTGGCCCTTTTATGAGGGGTCATGTTAATTGGGTGTTTGCACAGCATTTTCTTCAAGGAGCTCTGGTAGCACAGTGGTTACAATTGGGTTGCTAACCTCAGGATTAGCAGTTATGTGGGAGAAAGCTGAGGCTTTCTGCTCCCATAAAGATTTACAGCCTCAGAAACCCTGTACAGGGTCACCATGAGTTAGAACCGACTCCTCGGCACATAACCACCACAGCATTTCTTCAAGATGAATTCCATTGCAAAGGTCTGTGATAGGGGCAGACAAAACTTATTCTGGGATGTCAAGAATGTGCAGTTCTTTAGGACCCTGGTTCAAACCCCTCCCAGGGGCTATTGTTCTCCTTTGCACCAGCAGTAGGTATTCCTTTATGTTATGCCTAGGGCACTAGGTAAACCAGTCCAGCCTGTACTACAGCTTACAAGGAAGTAAACATTTTTATGGATGGTCTTTCTTAATGGCATGTCCCAGGATGTGGCTACTCAATTGTGCACCCTGAGCATGCCCTACACATCTTCACAACTGCTCAAGCAAGGAGGGGTGCAGGCCTCAACATTCCTCAAAACTTTGGTCAATAAGTGACTTTTGTTGAATCCTGATTCCTGAACCCACTTTTCTCCCTGCCTCAAAACAGCCAACTTTGCAGCTAGTAACTGAGCACTGAACCATTTGTGCCACCCAGAGACTCCTGAATACATATCAATGAAGGAAGTGGAAACTATTTAGATAGCCTCACAGCATTGTTTCTCAGATAAAGAAACTGAAGAACATAAAAGGGAGAGTTCAGCAAAGATCACTTTATTACCTGATGCTATATAACAGATTGGGAACCCTGATGTAGCACTATAGGCTAATGCACTGGAACGCAAAGTCAGTTTGAACCACAAAATCAGTGGTTCAAACTCACCAGCCACTCCTTGAAACCCTCTACAGGGTCACTATGGGTTGGAACCAACAAAGGCACTTAACAACAACAATATAGCAGATTGGAGTCCTGCTGTAGCACTGTAAGATAAGTACTAAACTGCCAACCACAAAAGGTTATCAATTCAAACTCACAAGCCACTCCTTGGAAACCGTATACAGGGTCACTGAGGAGTGGGAACAGACTCAATGGCACTAAACAACAATAACAACATAAATAAGTTGGAAAGCATGGTGACTCTGTAGGATAAGCACTGAACTGCAAACCACAAAATTGGTGTTTGATTGAACCCACCAGCCTCTCCTCAGGATAAAGATGAGGGTTTTTTTTACTTCCACAAAGATTTACAGTCTCAGAAACTATATACAGGGTCTCTGTGAGTCAGAACTAACTTGACAGCATTTAACAACAACATGTAACAAATTAAGGAGCCTGGTGGTACAGTGGGTTAAGTGTTGGACTGTTAACTGAAAGGCAGTTTGAACCCACCAGCCACTCTGCAGGAGAAAGATGAGACTGCCTGCTTCCATAAAGATTTAAAGCCTTGGAAATTCTACAGGGCAGTCTTGTTCTGTCCTATGGAGTCTCTATAAGTCAGAATCAACTCAACAGTGATGGAGTTGGCTTAGTTTTCTGGTATATAACAAATCACCCCAAAATTTTAACAGCTCAAAATAATAAGCACTTATTATGTCACATGGATTTTGTGGGACACAAATCTCCTGAAATGGGATCGGTTATGTTGGTATAATCAAAATGTTGGCTGCTGTAATCATCTGAGATTTGATGGTTGGAACATCCAGTTCCAAGAGAGCTCATTCACAAAGCTGGCAAGTGCATGGTGGTCGTTGGAAGGAGGCCTCAGTTCCTTGCCATGCAGACCTTCTCATAGGGCTATTTGAGTGTCCTCTGGATGTGAAAGCTAGCTTCCCCCAGAGCAAGCCATCCAAGAAGGAGTCGCAAGGCAGAAGCTGCAATGTCTTTTCTGGTCTGGCTTTGGAAGTCACTTTTATTTCCACAATATCTTCATAATGACACAGGTCTGCCCTCTTTACAGTAGGAGGGCTGGACTACCAGGAGGCGAGAACATGGGGGATGAGGGAATTGCTAAGAAAAATGGTGACCTGAAGAATTCCACAAACCAGTTCCCAGGAAAACAATCATAACTGAACAGAACATTTTTCAAAAATTAAAGTCTCTGTAAATTGACCTAAGGGAATACAGCCAATGAAGAAACATTTTTTATTATTAGAGGAAAATCTCCCGAATCTCAATAATCACAGTCAGCGTCCCATGACTCACCCACTCCAGGCAAGTGTGGCCAAGACGATAAGACCACTTCTCCTGCCAGCTTCCAGTCAAGGAATATGGTATCTCCCTGGGAAGAGCAGGTCCCCAACATTCCTCATTAATTCTTCCCCCAAGCTCTGCTGCCAGGCTAAATTCCAAACTAGTGCAGCTGAAAGGTCAGGGGCTCCCTTTCTCCACCTAGCACCCAAGTGTAAGATAGTGGCTCTGCCTGCTGGATAGCAGATTGAGAGGACCAGGACCTCAGTTGTTCTTGGTTTTGACAAGTAGAGTTTCCACATCAGGAGAGGCTAATCAAGAAGACACAAGGCTACCGCTCCCACCCAGCACCCTGCTTGTAAGACCACAGTGTCGCTTAGAGAGAAGCAGGTCACTGTCCATGTCTCCCAGCTCAACAGACTTGCACAGGAAAAAGAGAGGCTGTAAGAGTAAAGAGCTCCAAATCTTTCCCCTAAGGAAATGAAATTAGTTGGAGCACAGTACGGGAATGTACAAGCTAAAGAGCATTCTCAAAACCAATGAAAATTTGCCCTGGTGTGATGTTGTGGGTTAATATGTGGGGCTGAAAAATTGGCTTGAACTGCAGGGTTGGTGGTTCAAGCTCACCAGCCGCTGCTTGGAAACCCTATAGAGGGTTGCTATGGGTTGGAACCGACTTGAAGGCACTTAACAACAATATCCAAGGTCATATTTTGGATCCCGGGGACTTGTTTTAGTTTTCTTCAGCTTCAGCTGAGATGGATTGGCACAGTAGCAGCAGCAATGGGCTTTTAAGAGTAGCAATGATTGTGAGGTTGGCGTAGAAATGGGCAGCGTTTCATTCTGTTGTGCACAGGGTTGCTATGAGTTGGTACTGACCCAATGGCACTTAACAGCAACAACAAAACCTAACAAAGACAACCTATTCCCAAATGGGTTGTAACCACTAGCACAGAGGTTAGTGTTTACAACACATTGTTAGGTGGAGTCTGTTCTGATTCCTAGAGACCCCATGCACAGCAGAACAAAACCCTACCTGGTCCTGTGCCATCTTCATATTGTTATGTCTGAACCCATTGCTGCTGCCACTATGGCAGTCCATCTCATTGAGGTTCTCCCTCTTTTTCACTGACTCTCCACTTTACCAAGCATGATGTCCTTCTCTAGGGACTGTTGTTGTTGTTATGTTAAGTGCCATCAAGTAGGTTCCGACCCATAGCGACCCTGTACAGGGTTTCCGAGGGTGTAAATCTTTACGGGAGTAGAAAGCCTCATCTTTCTCCCGCGGAGCGGCTGGTAGTTTCGAACCACTGACCTTAAGGTTCGCGGCCCGAGTCGTAACCACTACGCTACCAGAGCTCCTAGGGACTAGTCCCTCCTAATTGAGCCCAAAGTATGAGAGATGAAGTCTTACAGTAAAACACATTATGGGGGTACAAAATGCAATCCATAACATTATGCCAGTCACAGGGTAGTCAGTGACAGTGAGAAGCCATGTTTCCTGCCTGCTCATCTTGAAGTCTTAATCTCAAAGTATCAGTCGTCTTTCTCTACTCCTCTTGCCTTGATCCAGACCTAAGTTTAAGGCATTGTCTTCTGAGTAAGAACTGATTCAAAGGCACTTAACAACAGTACCTGACGATATAATCCCACTTGTGAATAGGTTTTTTTGTTTTGCTAATTAGTCCATGTCAGTGTATGGTGTGTCTTAAACCGAATCATTTTGAGATATAAAAAAGCAGATTAGGCACTACTCAGTGGACCTTGGGATTCAACCCACAAACCACCAATTTACCAAAAGATGTGTTACTGTGTGTAGTAGGTGCTTTTCCCTAGAAGGTTGGACTATAGTCTTGGTCCAACTACAGCAGTATTGCACTATGTAGTCCCTGGAGTCACACAGACAGGGGTTCAAGCATCAGCTTTGCCACCATAAGTAATGGAGCCTCATGTAAGCCCCAGACTCTGACCTCTCTGAGCCATAATTTCCTCGAACAAGGAAATAGAACTTATCTTAGTAGTAGGAGCACAGTGGCTCTGTAGGATGAGCACTGGGCTGCGAACCACAAGGTTAGTGGTTCAAGCCCACCCACTGCTTCTGGAGAGAAGGATGAGGTTTTCTGCTCCTTTACAGAGATGCACATCCTCAGAAACCCTATACAGGGTTGCTGAGTTGAAACCAACTCAATAGCACTTAACAACAACAACATTTGTAATTCCTAAATAGATTCAATGAGAATGCATACAAATGACTTAGCATGTAATACCTGGCATATAATAAATGTTCAATACATTTCTGTCATAATTATTTGTCAATGTCCTCCATAATGTAAAACCTACAGCATACTCTCTCCTAAATCCTTTCCCCAGTAATAAAATAGGTGGTGCCTTTAATCCAAAGGGCTAGATGCTTTCTGAACCTGAATTATACTAAATACTTCATGAAGTTCATGGGAAAATGGCCTTAAAGATAATGAAATTTTCCACAAACTTTTTTGAAGCTCCCTCATACATAACTGTCTCCCTTCCTAATATATAAGGAAGAGTTGACATGCCTTTTTTAAAGCCACAATGTGTTGTATATCACCAAATATATTACTTTATTATTACCTAACATTTACTAAGCACTTGCTATTGGCCCATACCTATATTAAACACTTTTCACGAATTATGTCATTTAAACCTTACCACAACCCTAAATTTCCCAATATTCAACTTTACAAATGAGGAAGCTTAGGCCTAGGGGAAAATGTCGGCGTCTGCCCTCGACATAGTTGTCACGAGTGTTTGGTTCACGAGGAGGGGAGATCCAGCGACGATAGGGATAGCGAAAGAATACACAGACAAACAGAAGGGTGACAATGAGGCACCCCAAAGCCAGGGTGGATACATCACTGGTGGGCAGGCTTGGGACTACAGGCATCATGGCCTCTGCAGGCAGCAACTC